AAGACAATGATGTAGATAGAGAACAGATTAGAATTCAAGCCAAGGAAAACATGGAAAATAATGCAAGATATGACAAACAAAGATTTGACAAAAATAAGGCAAAGATTATGAAGCATAACGTAGGTGATCATGTTTTACTGAAAAACGAAGAACGGCATCAGACAAAGCTTGACCCTAAATTTAAAGGTCCATTTGAGGTGATCAAAGTCTTAGACGGCGATCGATATGAACTAAAATCATTGGTTAATAAGCGAACGTATAAATATTCACATGAGTGGCTAAGAGCGCTACCAAGCAGACAAATAATTAACGAATTAAACGAAGAATTCGATGGCCTAAGTGATGGCGATTCCCAGGAGAGGAACGAACCAATCGACGGCGTTAGTAAGCGTGCGTCTGTATCCCAAGAGGGGAATTGAGGACCGCACCATAACAGCTGTCTCACAGGGATGAGAAGTGTTATGGCGGGGGTCAAGGTGATTGGGTGTAAGTGTGTACACCAAATTAAATTGAGAAACTGAGAGACAAATCTAAGTTGTGTAAAATCTGAATTTTTGGAAAATTCTGATTAGAATTAAATGATATGAATAAGATCATGAAGTTGAAAAAGTATTATGTTTGTAAACAAAAGGAAATTGTGTTTCCTAGATAAGAAAAATTGTCAGTTAATGTTTGTGTAAGCGGCTCTGTAAGTTTGTAAATTGTAAGAGAAAATAATGTTATTAAAAACAAGAGATATCATAATTAAAAGAGTCTGGTATGTGACTTGGACATGGGGGGTGGATGTAGCACACGAGGACGTGTGATAGGTCAGGAAGGCCGTGTCGCAGTGTGATTCCTAGTAATTATACGCGGGTACATTCCTCAGTAGCATTCTGGGAATTCGGGGATTCGGGGAATTCCCTGATTTTGCTTTACTAGCTGATATTGAACGAAAGCACGGCAGCAGAGGCAGAGACGCTCTGCTGCTGAGTGAGGTTCGATGGTAAGATACCAAGAGTCTTGAGTAAGACAGAGATGGCTACATGCACTCGACATGAGTGAGTTTACGACATGAGAGAGTAGGCTGACATAGTCAGTTGAGCTTGGGTATTTGAACCGATCGGAACTCGCTGTGCAGCCGCGTCAATCATCAGAAGTATCAACATGGATGGCATACCTTTGCCGCCGACAGATATACCCCTGCCGCCGACATATGTATGTGTGTATGTGTGTATGTGTATGTGTGTGTATGTGTATGTGTGTGTATGTATGTGTATGTGTGTGTATGTATGTGTATGTATGTGTGTATGTATGTGTGTGTATGTGTGTATGTATGTGTGTGTATGTGTGTATATGTGTATGTGTGTATGTGTGTATGTGTGTATGTGTGTGTATGTATGTATGTGTGTGTATGTGTGTATGTGTGTGTATGTGTGTATGTGTGTGTATGTGTGTATGTGTGTGTATGTGTGTGTATGTGTGTGTATGTGTGTGTATGTGTGTGTATGTGTGTGTATGTGTGTATGTGTGTGTATGTGTGTATGTGTGTGTATGTGTGTATGTGTGTATGTGTGTATGTGTGTGTATGTGTGTATGTGTGTATGTGTGTATGTGTGTATGTGTGTATGTGTGTATGTGTGTATGTGTGTATGTGTGTATGTGTGTATGTGTGTATGTGTGTATGTGTGTATGTGTGTATGTGTGTATGTGTGTATGTGTGTATGTGTGTATGTGTGTATGTGTGTATGTGTGTATGTGTGTATGTGTGTATGTGTGTATGTGTGTATGTGTGTATGTGTGTATGTGTGTATGTATGTATGTATGTATGTAAGTATGTATGTATGTATGTATGTATGTATGTATGTATGTATGTATGTATGTATGTATGTATGTATGTATGAATGTATGTATTTATGTATGTATTTATGTATGTATGTATGTATGTATGTATGTATCCATGTATGTATGTATGTATGTATTTATGTATGTATATATGTATGTATGTATGTATGGATGTATGTATGTATGTATGTATGTATGTATGTATTTATATATGTATATATGTATGTATGTATGTATGTATGTATGCGTGTATGTATGTGTACTTATATATGTATGTATGCATGTGCACATGCATATGTGAATGTATATATAGTGTGAAACACGTCTCAAATTATTTTTCGTATACATCCTTCATATTCATTATGAACAAGAATACCCTCCAAGTATTTGACCATCATTTCCACCAAGGAGGAATGAATTATTCGAAAAGTGTGAAACACCCCTCAACTGAATTTGAACAACGATCTTTGAAAATGAGTTTGAGGCCGATCGGATGGTAAACATTAAAGCTTCACACAAACGTTTTTCGCAGCTTCATCACCCGTATTAACGTGCAGCTTCATCACTTACGGTAACTACTGTGAAAATTTCAGCTGCCTAGCTCTTCCGATCACCAATCAGTCAGTCAATAAGGTAGTCAGTCATTCAGTCAGACATTCAGTCAGTCAGTCAATCAGGACAAACAGTTTTTTTTATAGAGATTTATTGATATTTTTCATATATTTATCAGCATATGCTCATTACTTCTTTAAATTTTTTTGTTATGTGCGCTATGTGACCCTCGTAACATTTTTCAAGTTTCTTATATTACTCAAATTTTTTTATATTTTTTATAAGCTCTTATCAACTTATATAAAACTTATTGTATCTATGTATAATAAAATCACACCTAACATATTTAACAGTTAAAATTTTGCTATTAAGCTTACAGTGTTATGTTAATACTGTACTGTTAAGTTGTATTCTGCATAAAATGGATTCTTTTATGTTACTGAAACCATGCAAACCACATAAAATCATCGAAATAATTGTGTAATTAATATAATCGACTTGAATTGCTTTTTATTTGCCGCAACAATAAAATTTTTTGTTTTTTTTTCACAAGAGATTAAAAAAAAGGCACAAATCCATTTACTGGAAAATTAAAAAAATAATAAAACGTTAATGTAATTGTTATGTGGTTATTAAATATTATGATTTTGTGAATATGTGTATTAGTATAATATCATATTTCCATAGGTTATGTGTCCAGTTTTTTTTTCATTGAGTGGTAAAAAACAAATAAACCCTCATTGATTTTATAAACACAAGTTGAACGAAAACAATTATAGATTGTGCAAAGCTCATTAAAATAAATAATCATTTGAAAATTGTTATATTTTTTTTGCTGTCGCGGAAATAATATAATTTAATTTGACTGGCGAAGCCGCAAAATGCGTAAATTGTGGGCACTTTTCCTATATGTGTGGAATGTGGAATAATGTAAAAGCTAATGATGCAAATTAATTACAAATGATGCACACAAAGGACTCGCTCACATTGTGTATGTGTGTGTGTTTGTTGTTTTTTTTTTGTTGTGCGGCTTGATTTTTAATTTATGCGCACCGCAGTTGATTTTCACATAAAATCCAACGCATAGCTACGCAAATCCACCCGCAACTTAAAAGCTTAAAACGCCACGCGAGGCAACAGTGCCAGGTCCTGGCGCTGTTTGGCCGTTTCCAGGTCCTGATATCCGAGCCAAGTCCCCCGGCCAAGGCTTATAAATTTTAATTAAAATGCGCACAGCTCGCGCAACGTCAACGACAGCATCAGCCGCGCTTATTTCCGCTTACATTACAATTACATTCATTTGCCAGGCAGCCGCTCGGTGAGCCAGGCATGGCCCACAGGATGATGGCCCACTGTCTGGGCCAGGTATTTGCCAAGGATACAGTTAGCATTTAGTTCGGGTCTTAACACCTGATCTAATGCTGCTGAGCATTTTCATTCAACTGAAGGGTGCGGGGATGCTGCTTCATTTGTTTTTCTCTTTTTTTAATACCCTAGAACTTTAGCTGGAAGGTATACATTATTTATTTGTTTAACTAAGCTTCGAAACCAAGTATTAGCATACAAGCTGAAAACTAACTCGTAAGACTCTGAATTCCAAATTGTTGAAGATGGAAAAAGAAGGAAAAAGAAATTTCAAATTAAAAGTACTGTAAATTTATCTGTTATGAAAATTGACTGTTCTTATTTAAAACCAATTTTCAGCTAACGCTTTAGCATGTTGCATGCTCTTTGTTCTATTTTCAATATTCATAGATCTATATGTTCTGTTCTCGATTAAAAAATGTATGTTCCTTGTTGCAAGTTCTATGTTTGCTGTTGCATGCTCCATATTCCATGTTACTTTATTATTTATACATTATATGCATAATGTATTTATTAATATTACAAAATTCCTGTTCAATGTTCCATGTTTCATGCTCCGTCTTCCATGTTCCTTTTTTAATGCTCCATGTTCCATAAATAATATTATAATTGCCATGTTCATATTCAATGTTTATGCTCAATCTGAAAAATTGCATGTTCCATTTTTCATATTCCTTGCTTTATCCATGTTCCATATTTCACTTTCCGCAATTCCAATTGGAAATCTTAATGGGATTTTAACTTAAATATAATTGTTTCTTATTCTTATCAGCATCGTTGATGAGCTTCCTTCCTCCAGCTGTCTTAAATATGTAATTATAACTAGACTGCAGAAAATAAACAATTTGCAGTTTTCATTATTTACTCTCAACCAGACAGCTGCTGCCAGAGCAAAACTTCCACTGTCCAATTTAGTTCATCCTCATGGTTCTTGCGTCGAGGGAACTACAACAAGCCGATGGCAACATTTGGTCTCATGCTGTTGTTGCACTAATGACGCGAGTCGGCCTAAATAACAAGCTGCTGGCACTTGGTCAACAAGTGCGGGCTGTGAGGGGCGAAGCTCTTTAAGCCAATGCCAACTGCGTTGCTAACTCGGCAGTCGATTTTTTAGCCCACCCTCCTGCCATTACACTGCGCGCACTAATGAGACGCAATGGGACCACAAAATGGAAATTAAGTAAAATGCAACAGCGACCAGCTGCGACAGTTGGAGGCGTTCATGGGCGTGGCACTTGGTTAGATAGATTTGATTCAATTAAGTTGAAGTAGGCGGAGCTGCCTCAAGCAGCTGGCAACTGCCCGCTCAAAAATGCCCAAAAAATAGGTTGGCAACGAGACGAAAGTCATTTTGAAATGTTTAAACCAGCGAGAATTGAAGTAGCTTCTGAAAATGAATAAAGATACAAAAATGATACTGACCGCTGAGGCATTGCGAGAATTTCGTGTCGCCAAGTCGTTTCAGCCAACGTGTGATACCAAGTATTCAATATGCTTCTCGCAGAATGGAGAGCATCTGGTGACCTGTGACCATCACAATTTAATTCTCTTCAATTGCAACAAGCTGACACAGCTGTGTTTGGTCCACATGCGGCAATTTCGTCCGGAATTGGTTTGCTTTACACCGCAAAATGATCGACTGCTGCACAGCTCGACAAAGGTAAGTTGCAGAGAGGGAAAGAGAGCCAGAAATGTGCAATGGGTTTTTGAAAATATATAAATATTATGAAATTTTCAATGATTAAATTTGCGATAAAAAAGTGTAAATTTACCAAAAGCGCAAGGTTTTAGGCAAGATTGGGTAGCGGTATCAGAGAAGTGAATTATCTTTTATCTGAATATACCATACTGGTCTATTTAGCTTTAAAAAAGCTATATCTCAAAATCTATTTTTATGGATTTTATAAAAAATAAAAGGATGGGTTATCGAATAAAAATGAGTAACACACTCTGCGTAGTTTCCTGAATCGACGTGTTGGCACAGACGGGAAACTAGCCCACCTCGACTCCTCGTCGCTTATTACTATATCCAATACTGTTAATAGTAATAAAGCTGTCTTCGTTTGTCACCCATTTCAGATGGACTGTGCAATACGCTACTTGGATCTGAGCAGTCACCAGCACTTGGGCCTATTTAGTGGACATACGAGTGCATTGCGCGACCTGTGCTTGCAGCCAGGCAGCGAGCATCAGTTCATGAGTGCCGGTTGGGATGATCGTGTGCTCATGTGGGATCTGCGCACCTGCGGCTATACGCAGAAGCTGAAGCATCTGCACAGGCCGCTGCTGGCCTATGATCCCAGCGGCAGGGCCTTTGCCACCTGCAACAGTACGGAACGCATTGAGATCCATGATGTGCGCATGCTGAGCGCAAAGCCTTGCCAGCAGTTTGGCTACCAGCTGAACGAGCTGGCCAAATGGACGCAGCTGCAATTTGCGCCCAATGGCAAGACGCTGCTGGTGAACACCGACAACGCCTGGTGCTTCAGCGTGGATGCGTACAGGGGTTCCTTTCGGCAGGCCTACACAGGCTATGCGAACCGGGAGCAGCTGCCGCTGCAGGTCTGCTACTCGCCCGACTCACAGTACGTGCTGGCCGGCGCGGACAACGGACGCGTCCATGTGTGGGAAGCAGTCAGCGGCGATCCGTTGGTGGTGTTGCGCAGCAAAAGCCAATACCCGATGCAATGTGTACAATTCAATCCCACGCGGAGCATGTTTGCGAGCAGCGATGTGCGAACCCTTCTCTGGCTGACCCAGCCCCAGCACGAATTGAAGCCGACGGCTATTATAGATTTGACCGCCACGGACGACAGTGAAGTGGAGTTGGGTGAGATCAAGATGGCTTTTAAGCGTCGGCGGCGGCGAAGAGCCTGGCCCATGCCCATGGAGCTGCCGCGTTGGCCGCCGCCGTCGCCGCCACCACGAGTTGTCCGCTGGCGCAGGCGGCGCTTGAGGCAAGTCGAGGATGCTGACAGTCTGGAGGAGGGCGAGCTGCGTTGACTACACAGATACACATACCCACACACACACTCTCAACTATCAATCAGCGACAGGCACACCCGCGCTTGGACCTGGCCAGCGCCAGTTGCTAGCAAGTTGTGCAATTGGAATTGCAATTGCATCGCTTGGCCAAAAGTTTCAAGAACTGGCAGCCAGCACTTCACAGCTGGAGCCACTAAAACAACAACAGCAAGGATAACAATAAGGGGCACAACTTGGACGCTTTTCGCCTTTGAGACACACACACACACACACAAATTGTCGAGTTTTGCCAGCAAATTGCACAGCTGGCTGGACTTCGAGCTGCGCTCAGTTGGAGACTGGTTGCATACTTTGGTGGCACACAGCTGACAGGCGTTTCGTTTACTTAAAGTTCGCACAAAAATAAAAATTGTTATTTGTACACTTTTTTAATATTAATGAAATCCTTTTAAACAATCACTCCACAAAAAATTGCAAAATGCTCTTGAACTTTCGCCAAGTTCTATGCAACTCTAATTGAAGATGTGCTCCAGCTCAGAAAGACTTTCCGGCACACAAGTAAAGCTTCCTCTACTCAAGTTATCAAAAATTGTGGCGAATTGCATGCAAGTTGGATCCTTTCAATAACTTTCGCCCATAAAGTGCTAAAGTTGATGTGTAAAAGCATCTGCTTGAGTTTGAGAACAAGATCTTAAGCTTGATAACTGCATAGACAAGCGGATAAAGTATACTTTAAGAATTTCTTGCGTTCTATAAATTCAGCTATTTCCGAATGCTGTTATCAAGATTTGCTTGGTAATTTTTGCAAGTTAAGCTAACAAGATTAGCTAGATATATTTTACATACATATATAACATAATATTTATAAAATAACATACATGAATAGCGTAAAAATTTACGAGAATAACATAATTATTGTATAATGAAAGGATTACAGACATTAAGAATGCTTTTGCCAACATTTGCTTGGCAAATATTATAGGTTTAGGTTACATTTGCATTATATATTTTCTATGTTAAGCTTAACATACGATATAATAATAATTACTTCATTTAATATATTTATTATTATTTTTTTATTTATTGACAGATTACAAAATCTAGTTGATATATTTTTTGTTTCAATTTTAACGTATTTTTTTTTATTTTAATTTAACATACAGAGCCTTTTTCAGAGAAGAATATTAAATTTACTGAATAACAGCAAATAATTCAGCAAGGTATGTTGTTTGTGTTAAGCTTAACATAGCAATTACAGAGTCTTTTGAATTTTAATAACAATTACTTGCTCTAAAAAAACAAAAATATCCTAAATATCCCGAAAATCCTAAATTGTATAGGTCATATATATTGGGGAAACTTTTTATTGGTTAAGAAATCCTTAAAAACAAAACCTTTTTCATAAATACTCTCTTCTAATCTCAACTGCTATACTGAATATGTACAGGCTTGTGTTAAATATAATCAAGGGAGCTTTTAGTGGAAGTGTCTTTTTTCTTCTCTGCGACACATTTAGCTTCCCAGCAAGGGTATAAGCTATTTAAAATTAGAATTGAATTTATGCACACAATTATCATAATGTTAAATCAATTATCTATGGACATGGCCAACGGCAATTGGGATTTTCAATCACATAACTGTTATATCTTTGAAGCCTTGGGATTAAATTCAGCTTATTGCCACCCATACACTTAGATAATGGTATCATTTGCATATTCTGGTCATAGTTTTCTTTAGTGAATTGAAGTGCGGAGGGCAAACGTGCCACGGGCGGGCAATTCAGAAGTCAAAGTACATTTGAATAGATGTCAGCTCGAGTAGTTTCTCGGCAGAGGTGGGGAGCAACCAGTCATTAGGCTAATTAACTAGAAATGCTGCGGGCAAACGCCTTAATAAGTATAAATTAAACAGGCATGCGACAAATTTGCAGCTAAGCGGAAACGGAAGCGCGCGTGTCGCCATTTTGATTTGCCATGGTCATTACCATTAGCGAGCGTTATTGTTGCTGTTATCCTTGTTGATGCTGTTATTGTTGCTGCTGGTTAGCATCCTCTGAAGCGTGTAAATGCCGCACGCGTACAGCTAAAGTAAAATTAATTAAAAAGGTGAACAAAAATTGCAAAAGAAACGAAACGCAGCGCGTGACTAAATTGTAAAACAAACACAGAATTTAGGCTCCGCATCTGCCTGCCCAATGCTCCACCAGCTCTACACTCAGCGAAAACAGAAGCTGCTTTTATGAGTATAAACAGAAAATCTTTCAAACTCTTTCAATTGGGTTAACAAAGAAAAACTTTTTAAAATAAAAAGAACCTTCGTTGACACCGTTTGCATTTGATTAAGGTAAAAAATTCTTCTATGAAACTTGAGTTTTTCTCTGAGTGTATCGATTGTTACTGTGAAATGACGCAAGAATATTTAATGCGCTGCTCGTTGGGTAATAAAAGCGGATTTCTTTTGGGCTCAGCTCACAAATCTTGTTTGGGCTCAATTTGGGATTGGGCTGTGGGTGGAAAAACATGTGCATGTCCCATTGCTCTTTTATGAAGTATGAAAAGGAAAACGAAAAAAGAAGAAAAGCGAAAACGAAAACAATGAAAACTTGTTGCAAAACTTTGTAGTCAAAAAAAATTATCGACTAAGAATTTTTGTACTTCAGGAGCCAATCAATTGCATGCATCGAAGCACGGAATGAAGCCCAAGCAGGCCAGTTGGGCATTATAATAAAAGTGATTTAAAGTCGTCTACAATCCATACTTATTATAAAGAATCAATTTGACCTCAATACATTACAAGTTTGGCAGAGGGGGAAGGGCAGGGGGAGAGGGGGGAAGGCGGCTGCCTGTTTGCTAAACTTTTAAATTACTCAACGGGCACTTTCAATAATGGCAGCCAGCAGCTGCCTGAACTCCCCCCGTAAAGCTCGTACTACCTGATGACCTCTACTTGTAGGTCTTAACAGAGTTTTAGGCGGCAAAACTTTTACTTCGTACGCTTGTACTCTTTTTCTTTGTACTCTAAGCTTATTGAAAATTAGTTAAGTGGGTATTACGGTTTTATGTAAATGTGTGTAACATATCAAATTGAAAACGAGTTTATTATATTTTTCGATATCTTTGAACATGTTCATATTATCGGTAAATATAGATTTCAATACAGCATGATTCGAAACATATGGGAGCTAGACAGATTGGGGGGGAAGATCTTAAGGAACTCATTTTCTTTAGTATGGGACTAAGGAAAGAGAAGCCCAGAGATTTTGTAAAAGGTGTAAGCTGGAATGTCTGTGAAGACAGCTTGGCGCTGCGGCAGGGTGTCTTTTAGTTGGGCACGCCCGACCTTACAACTCTTACTTGTGTTTCTTCATCTGGTACTTATTCCTTGAGACTTTAGCTAGGACTTTGACTTACCCTACGCTTTCGACAAAGTTGTCTTCAAGTTTTTGCTGGAGTTGCCCAAGGGCTTCCTTGGCTTTGGTAAGGGGCGGTGGAACAGGATGTCTATTTCCGCTACGGGCGTAAAAATAACAATCGACTTGCAGTTTGAATACATCACAGACTTGGCTGATGGGGGGAGGCGGGGGGAGAGGCGAGTTGGGCTGGACGACGGAACGTTAGCCAACTTCCGTGCTTGCTTTGCTTCTTTTTTTTAAGACGGCGGGATTAAGTGGATTTTTAAGTGGCAGCAGCAAAAGTGGCCACGGGCCAGCTACGGCTTAACTTTCCGACTTAGGCCCCATCCCTGGTGACACAATTACATGCACGTTACGAGCATTTCCCCCTGCCTAACCCCCCCCCGCACACTCACTTGCCACTTCCGCTTTCCGCCTGAAATAAAATGGCTTAGCCATTGACATGGACAGCACGTGCTAATGGGCAGTTTTTTTGCTGGACTGGCCACTGGTCCACCATCAACAGGGTGGTTTGGGTTTGCCAGATATTTGGACTTTTGGCCGCTTACTGGCTTTCTTGTTGTTTTCGTTGTTGTTGTTGTTGTTGTGTGTTGGCTGTGCAATTGCCGCCGTTGATTGGTTTCAAAATTAGCAAGCAATTTGTGTGGCTGTCTAGAAAGCACATCTATTAGTTAGTTTAAAGGGTTTCCACATAAATTCAACAGAAAGATCTTTGCATTGTCTGCAAGTCAATTTAATTGACTTAATTACCTAAAATATATCAAATGAAGGTCGCATATTTATGAAACTTTTAATCTAAAATTTACAACATAATTCAGAGAAAATCAAAAAAAATTGAGCTATTGGGAAAAATGTTTTGCGTAGAATGGGTGAAGGGCCGCAAAGAACTTTATAACATTTTGGTAATTATTGGACCAAGCCCGAGATTTTTCATGGCTTATAAACATATTAACACATGCATACTTTATGTACGACAAATGCAGTTCAATCTGGGAAAGGTATGTTTTATTTGGGAACTGTTAAACTTTATAGAATTGAGGGGAATCAGAAAATTCTGATATGACAACTGACTTCATTTTAGCAAAAATTATGACGATCTGTAAAACTTTGATCAGAGTTTTGTATTGGGTATTGAATTTCAATGATAGTCGATAGACCCACACAGGAACCACATTAGTTAAAGAAGGTGTATTATATATTTATTATTTAAATTATATAAATTTTCGAATTGGTTTACAGCACTGCTTCTCATTTTCAATAATCTTTTTTTATATATTTCATTAATTTTTGCCCACTGTACTGCCAAATTTGTTGATGGACTGACGAATATTCAAGGCGTGAGAGCCCACTTATTTGTTATCAAATTTTCAACTAAAAGACAGCAAAATTTGCACTTTCCATGCCAAGGACGAAACGAGTTGAACAAAACCATTTATGGACCCCTTCCATTTGTGGCCATCAATGGGGCAATTGTAGTCAACACTCAAATACTTATTTGGGGTCAGAAGCGTCTGCTGATGTCCAACATTGATTGATCCTTGCAGAATTTTCGACGCGGGCATAAAACACCCTTTCAGGAAATGGTTAGAAAAACAACAATAGCAACAACAGCAACAACAACAACACGATTCGTTCAACACATTCGAAAACCCATTCGAACTGTTGGCCGTAGGTTCAATTTGGTTTCTGATTGCCTCAAATTAACCGAACGTTTGGCCGTTCCGTTGTCCTCTCTGGGGTTTGATGATTTGTCAATTGTCCACTGCCTGTCAAACTGTCTCCACTCTCTCCACCCTTCCACATTGAGCTGGCTGTCAGTCAATCATGCATTCAATCAAGTAACTCACACAAAACACTCGAAACACTCAAAAGCGCCGTCTCTAAAACTTTGATTTGCAATTTTGACGCGCCTTTTAAATTGGAATTTTTCGCTCTCTCCCCCAGCCCTTTGCCCTTCGCTCCCCCCCAAACAGCAACTACAACAACTGTCAAAACAACAACAATAACAACTACAGTAAATACAATCAGAGT